CTTGGTGTCTGTCCTGGGTGATTCGATCGACCCAGGGAGGTCTGATGGTCTCTCCAGGCGGAGATTTTGTTTTTGGTCTCCCTAGGTCCGTCCTGGGGAAGCGGGGAGCCGCCCGCGTGCGGTGGCGCTTCGGTTCCTGCGCCCGTCGTGTGGTAGTGGTTGATCATGCGGTAGTGGTGGGCTACGGCCAGGCTACGTCCCGTCTGATCAGGAGCCTCGAGGCGACTGCTGCCGAGCAAGGGCTCGAGGCGGGGAAGGTCCACCAGGAGGAGACTGAGGCGGGGCTGCGGGCGTCCCTGGCGAACACCGAGGCGGTGCTTCAAGAGGCCTTGGCGGCCCTTGAGCCAGAGCGGGCCTCCCTGGAGTCGGCGTAGAAGGCCCTAGAGGCGGAGCAGAGGGCTCGGTCGGAGGCGGATCAGGAGGTGCTCGTGCTCCGGGGCCAGGTAATGGGGATGGAGGACGCGAGTGCTCGGCTGCGCGAGCAGGTGGCTCGGCAGGCAAAGGATATCTCCACCCTTGAGGCCTCTCGCATCGGTGCTACCTTCTTTTGTTTTCTCATGGTGTTGATTTTTCCTTCAGCCTATTTCTGAGCTTGTCGCCCTTCTTCCAAAGCTGGATGAAAAGGTGAAGGCGCTGGAGCGAGACCTGGAGACAACCAAGGCGAGCTTCAGCCACAATGCCGAGGAGCTAGCCAAGTCCGTGAAGAGCGACGTGCTCTCGAAGGGGATCTTGACCAGATCCACAACGTTGTCTGGCTCGTCGTCTCGGAAGTCTTCGAGTCGGTGCCAAGTACCAGCGCGCCCGTGGTCCAGCTGGCGGAGGTTCCGGATGCGGTCCGGGACCTTGTCAGGAGCGGGTTGTTCTACGGAGCGTCGGGGGTGCTGACCTCGGTGGCGACGTACCACCCGAACCTGGACTTCGCCGCTATCTATAGTGGGTATGCTGAAGGTCTGAGCATGGAGGACATCCAATCAATCGGGGAGAGCTTGCTGCCGCACGCGCGATCGGTGTCAGAGCAAGTCTCCACCGAGTGGGTGATGGAGGTTCGCCATGAAGACATGGCCCAAAGCATGCGTGGAGAGGACGCTTTTCGAGACTGCGGATAGCCCGGAGCCTGGTTTGGGGGGAATGTCGCCTCAGCCTTGATCGAGCCGAACGTCGTGCCGCCGGGGAGTGAGCAGCCTGCGCCTTCGTCGGTCGCGCCGCCAGCAGATGCCGCCGGGCTGGTTTAATAGCTTGTAGAATATAAGTAGTTAGTAAACGTAAAAAGTTTAAGTTCATGGGGGAGCCCCTGTGTAAAACGTTCGTGTGTGTTTTAATGACTACAATCGGTTTTTATTTTTGTGATGGAGTTGCTCCGTTCGGGGAAGCCTTCCCTTTCGTTCTTTAGTTTTCCCTTAGCATAATTTTATTTTTTTATTTCTTTCTTTCTCGTACCTGCCTGTTTGTCCCGTAGGTTGCAACCTTGTGAGCCTAGGGCGTGGCCCGCGAGGCTCGGCTGCTCGTAACCATAGGAAAAGGCGGGGTGCGATCAGTCGGAATGTTTTAAAGCAAAGCTACGTAAGGCAAATCAAAAGAACGAACTGCTCTTCTGTTCGGGTAGGAAGGAGTTTTCTCCATATGAAAGTAAAAGAGTACTCAAAGTAAAAACAAAACAGAGGGGTAGTAGAGCCCCCTAGTGGAGCCCCCGAGCGCCCCGAGCCAAAAAGTGTTCAGGTCGGGGTGCTCTTACAGGAGCGTACGCTAAGTAAATAATGGTAAGACTGAAACTTTAGGGAAAGAAAAAACGACATAGCTGTTTCAGGGTGCTTGGAGAGCGTCGTCGTTATTGTCCTTCAGTCGGTAGGCGTCCGGTCGGATCACTTCATCCTTCAGTCGTCTGGATCCTTGCCCGCTACGCCCCTTTCTTCGTTTGCTGCCTCTTCGCCTTTTTCTTTCCTTGGCCTACCAGTCTACCTCAACAGGCGCTTGAGGAGCTGGCAGTCCTTGTAGAGATGGTTGACGGGATAGTTGTGGTTGGTGCACGGGCTCTCCATGAGCTCGTGAAAGTGGCCCGGAGGGTCTTGCTGGGGCTGAGTGCCCACATGATCCGCCGCGGCGACCAACGCAGAGTTGGCCGGTCGACGGCGATTCTTTCTGTTCTTTTTTCCCTCTGCGTGGAGGGGCCTCGTCTTGATCCTAACGCTTGGCCTTTACCTTTGCTGTGGCCTCCGTTGAAGCGCGGTGAGAACGGCGCTTGCTGGGGGAGTTGGGCAAAGGTTGGTAGTCCCTGTGCGTCAGTGCTGGGACTCTGGTCGCCGCTGCATGTGCCTCGGTTTGGTCTGAGCCGTGCGTAGATAGCCGGTTGGTGCGGAGCGGTCGTCAGGTCAAGATGAGGTGCCGTTGCGGCCTCATGTGTCGTGCTCAGCGGTTGTTGCGGTGACAGGGTGTAGTGCCCCATCTGATGTGTCCCTGTTCCCCGGATGGGGAGCGAGGTCACGAGTCGGCGTCGCGACACGGAGCATTCCGCTTGTTGAACGATGGCGGTCTCCACCAGTGGTCGGAGGTTTCGGTGGATCGTCCGTTCGCGAGGGTCGTTCGGCTCGGACAGGCCGCGCAGGAGCATTGCCGCGGCAGCAATGTTCTGACTGGCCCGAGCGAACCACGGGGGATCGATCCCCCTATCCGGGGTGTTGCGCTGGACCTGACGGGCATGACCCCGAGCGTCGTTCGTTGGTCTATGCACACAGGGCGAGTGTGGTGCGCTGAGCGCGCTGGTGCGGTCGGCGGCCGATGCGGCCACTGTCGTCGTAGATCCTCCCCGTGCTCACTTGTGAGCTCGGGGGCCTCCGTATGAGGGCCCGGAGGGGCGTGAGTCCATGAGGACTTCGTCGCCCCTAGCGGCTGTTCCGGAGCGTCCATCATAGCGCACTCCCGGGACGGACGGTGGCTGGGTGCCATGTCGCCGATGCTGGAGCCATCACTCCCGACGTCGTCGTCCATGATGTCGAGGAAATAGGTGGGAGCGTAGCTCGCCATCCCCATGAACTCAGACGTGAGAGGAGGTGGCGCCATAACCTTTTGGAGCCCCCGGGCATACGCGTCCACGGGAGACATGAGGCCGTAGGGGAACCGATCGTATGGTGGCCGCCATAGGGACAACGGCAGCCCTCCGGGTATTTGGTGGAAGATAGAACGTAGTAAGTAAAGAACAACATATATATTACTCACAGCGGGGTTTGAGCAGAGAGTTTGCTCGAGATGAAGCGCAGATGCCGCGCCGTAGAAGTCGCGCGTCCCGGAGTCGATGGAGGACGTCTCTCCGACGGGTGTCGGGTCGCGAGTCTCCTCGCGGAGGCGGAGTACGCCGAGCCGGTCGGCGACGAAGTCCAGGCTTCCAAAGGGGAAGGCCTAGGATGGCTCAAAAACGGGTGGAACCCGCATCCCCGCAGGCGAGAGTGCGGGATACTCCAGCGAGCCGAAGAGAATCGTATCGCCCGAGCCCGCCATGGCGGGGGTGGCGGAAAAATGGGCCATCCGATGACAAAAGGTGTTGAACGTACAACGTCTTCCCCACGGACGGCGCCAACTGTCGGTACAGAAAGTGATCAACTAGTGAATATTTGTAGTTTTGCTGTACGTTGTGATTGGAGGTGGCCTAGCACTCAATGACACATGATTTATACTGGTTCAGGCAACGTGCCCTACGTCCAGTTTGGGTCGGTCGGTGACTTTATTCCTGAGCCCAGGTGCTCGAAGTCTGTAGTGGGGTTACAAACGGGAAGGAGAAAGGTGGGGTGTACGAGTGGCCCGGTCGGGTCCGACCCGAAGGGCCGAGGGCGACCGGAACTCCGCTATGAGCTAGGTGTTTAAGCGTGTGCTTGAAGGGTTGTGAGCTATCGATCTAGTGAATCTCAACTTGAAGAAGTCGACCTCTAAGTTGGACTCCCCTTTTATAGATGAAGGGGATGGCTTTACAGGCGAGAGGGAGAGAGTACGGATGTTACTAAGCCTTATTGCCCACGCCGATGAGGACAGTGATGATGGTAGGCGCCCATAATGCTGTTGATGTCACTGTAGAACGTAAGGTGCACATGAGAGATTGCGTTGCCTTCTTCAGGAAGGGTAGATGTCGGTACCTGCAAAATAGTGTTGGTATGTGAGGAGCCATACCATGTGTACCAGGTATGGTGAATCCTGGTGCCCACAGTACTATCGATGTCCAGAGGCATGTGGGGGGCTTTTTGCCATATGGGAGTCCAACGGTGCCTACAATACTGTAAATACAAATGTCGGCGCCTACAATACTGTTTGTGTCAGGGCGGTTGTGGTGCATTGTTCCCGCAAGCGTACAGGGTATGGTCCTGGTATCGTGGTTTGACTTGTGCGCTGCCTTTTCTGTTTGCCCCTGGTTTCTTCCGAGCGGACGTCCCCGGTCGGATGGCCCCAATCGGTCCTGGTCGCGCCAGTCGGAGAAGAGCGGCAAGCAAGCTTCCTACGGGTCCCCGGTCGAAGACGCGGGGTCAGAGTAGGAAACAGCGTTTTGGGCCAGGCCTTCCGATCGGAGAGACCTCCCGGAGACGGCTGGTGCCTGAAGCGAGTGCTCTAGTCGGAGAGGTGGGCCGAAGAAGTTGATGAGCGGATGTCTGTTCCTTTGGGTAGACCTTCCTGTCAGCGACTGGACTGTCATTCCGGCCCGTTGTGTTTTAGACTCTTGGGTCGGCCCATGAACTACATGCTATTTTCCTGGGCCGAGGCTTGGCGTGGAAGCCGGTCCCCAAGGGACCCTGGGTTTATGAACCCGACACGTACTGTGCACAAAAAAAAAAGAATCGGTCTATCAACAATTGCTAAATTCATGGTGTCTTAGAAGTCATACGGGTCTGACGATTTTAACCAGTCTTCAATACAGAATTACAGATGTGCTCGTGGAGATAAACAAAACTATACATTCAACCGAAACACTTCCAAGCTACTAGCAACCAAAGAACTTGAGACTTCACCACGGCCTTCGCCGCCTTTCACTGATTAAAGCTACTGTGCCTCCACCCTCCAATTGCTCCTCCATCTTCCTGAACCTGAAATCCGGCGTCGACAGACATCCGATTAAATTGACGTGTCAAGAGAAACCCAGCGGTGGTACGCATGCATTTGCTCCAAGCCTCCAATACGCTGGCAAGTGGCATCCATGGGCATGACACGCGAAACAAATGCCGTACCTGGGTGGCGGTGAAGGTGATGCCGACCTTGATCTCGCCCTGGTACGTCTTGTCGGCGAGCACCACGTTGTGCTTGGCCGCGTTGAGGTGGTACGTGCCGCGCTCCGCGCCCAGGCTGACGATGTCCGTCACGTCGATCCTGCAATAGCGCGGAGGGAGAACGAGAGAAATCCCACGGTCAGTTCAGTTGTTTACTCGACCGCGGGTGCGGTTGCAGTTGCAGGTCAACTGACAACTGGTCAGCTCATTCGGGTAGGCAAGGCAGGCACTCACGTCGCCTCGCCGAGGAAGTCGTCGCTGGAGAAGTTGTCGTGGTCCATGATGCGGAGGATGAGCTTGTGCTGCGCGTTGGCCGCGGCGGAGTTGATCTGGAACTTGAACACCTCGTTCCAGCACGGGTTCCTCCCTTGGTCTGCGGGAATCAGTTTAGGGTTCAGTTAGGGGAGATCACCAGATCGGAACCCTGATAGGATCGGAATACAAGAAGAGAAGAGGTGCGCTAGCACTGACCTCGGGCGACGCTGCTCTTGCGCTCCTGGCTCCGGTACTGCACGATCACGTAGGGGTCAATCTTCCCTGCAGGAGCACAGCGGCGACGCGACGCGCAACTCAACGTCAGGACACCGGATGATGAAGAGTACTCCACGGATGAACAACCAACAACACACGCCACTGAACGCAATTCACGCGCGCGCAACACAACACGCACCTAAGAAATCGTTGCCGGAGAGGCCCTTGGCGTCGACGAGGTGCACTTCCAGGACGCCCTTCCCCATGTTCGTTCGTTCCCCTCCTTCCTTCTTCTTCTCCCCGGCGCGCTGTCCTTTCTTCCGGCGTTGGAAGTGCTCTCTCCCCTCTTGCGGCTGTAATGTAACAAACAAGGCTAAGCTAAGATGCCTGACCGGGCGCGGGCGCGCGTATTTATCGGCGCCTCGCTCCGGCTGCCTTGGTTGGCTCTGTCCAAGTCAAAGCTCTGAAGCGGTCGCAAGACTGGCCATCGCCGAGTTAAACCAGTGAGAACACTCGCCTTTAATCCTAGTCCGCATCATCATCCCACGCAAGATGCGCCCTCCGTTTGTTCTGCCAAGTTGGCCTCTTCTGCAACGAGCAAATTGCCGTGTGTTGTTGTCGTCTTCGTGGAAGCGACGGACCCAACTACCGGCTGCCCTGCCTGCCTCGTTGTACATTGACCCGCGGCGAATACATACAGCGCACGTGTGGGTCCGTCGTCCCATGTGATTCCGGTTCCACATTCATACGCACTTCTCCAGGAATTCTACCGAAGTATCTTAAATTTGATCACATTTTAATCCCAAAAAAACTTGATCACATTTATACCTATTCTTATCAAAAAAAAAATCTACAGTTTTAATTAAAATTTAGATAATTTTATTAATAAGTAAAAGAATTAAATTTGTAAGTTTTTCAGGAACAGCGACTCGATTTGTTGTCACGAGTCACGAGGCAGGACGATCCGTATGTAGTACGCACGCGCAACCTGTACGGCGGATTAACGAAGACTTGTACTAGTCATTCCTACACGAGTTTTGAATTTTGATCACTCCTAATACGCGGGTAATTTGTTTGTTTCCTAGGTCGCTATGGAGACTCCGTTTAACTAAGACTATTCGGTCACTAGTCTGTGGTCGTCGATCTATTTAAGCTTCGCTAGAGTGGCGTCAGCGTCTTACCTCAGCCTGATTTTATTGATACCGATCATCTCAACCCCCATTGGTTTCCACAAGTTGTTAAAAAAATGCAGATACATATATATATAGCGCCAGTGCCAAATTCAAAATGCTTTATTTCAGATCCAACCGATGAAATTGCCTGCCGTGGTCACTAGCTGCGTGCTGATTTTATCACAACTTGTTATGTATATTGTATCGGTAATGTTCAGGGACGGGTGTCCGTCCGATCGGACGCCGACTTCCTGGCCTGCACGCTACCGACCTAACAAGCCTACTTTCTCTTTACGTCTTTCACATCTCACTCCCGAAAACATCTCCCCACTTGCTTGCCCATTGCATGCTTCACGGCGCCGTGCGGCCGTTCATCCGCCCCACTCCGCATTCGCTGCCACAGCCATCTCTCCACACCCCCCATCCTGTGTTGTTCGGTCCTTGCTCCTACCCGTCGTGGACCCCAACCGCGGCTCTCACTCCTTGCTCCTGCAGTTCCACTTGCTGCGCGCCCACCCGCGCCGCCCGCCTCTGCTGGTGCTGGTGGTGCCATCGCACTCCTTAGGTCGGTCTCGGCCAAGCCAAGGGCACCCATGAGCGCGGCCCGTGCTGGTGGTGCTCGCGTGCTGCCGCTCGCCGCTTCCCACCGAGGCCGGAATCAACCGGTCCTGACCTTCCCTCCCATAGGTTGCAAATGTATGTTTCAAGTGTTTCAGATGTTTCAGAGGTATGTTACAAGTGTTTCGTATGGATGTTGTAAAAGTAGATCGGGATATTGCATATGTTGCAAGTGTTTCAGGGGTACGTACGTTGTAAGCTTTTGTTTAAAATGTTTAATGTGTTTCAGACGTATGTTGCAAGCATTTTTTATGTGGATGTTGCATATGTTTCACACATACGTTGCAAAAGTATGTTCAAAATGTTTCAATAGCTTCAGTCTTATGTTGCAATAAGTGTTTTCATGTTGCAAGTGTTTTATCTGGATGTTGCATATATTTTACACACATGTTGCAATTGTATGTTCCAAATGTTTCATCTGCTTCAGACATATATTGCATCCAAGTGTTTCATGTTTCAAAGGTAGATAGTCATGGGGGCACGGCCCGAGCGCCGGGGGATGGAGCGCGACGAACCGTGGGCCGACGGTCGGGGCGCGCAGCGCACCTAGGATCCTACGGATGGGGCGTGCTCGTCCTCATGTTGGCTCTTGGGTCCCTCCCGCGCAAAGAGAGAGGAGGGGGTCAGGGGGGAAAGGAGCGGTGGGCACGGCGTTTCCCGCGGGCGCACGGGCGTCCTGACTCGCGGTTGTGGAGAGAGATGTGGAGGCCAGGGAGAAGAAGCTGCGGGCATGGCGTTTCCCGCGGGCGCACGGGCGTCCTGACTCGCGGTCGTGGAGAGAGAGGAGGGGGCCAAGGAGAAGAAGTTGCGGGCGCGGCGTTTTCCAAAGGCGCGCGTGACGGAGGTGGCGCGGGCGTCCGGACAGAAGCAGCGTCCGGGGGCTAGTATCTCCCATATTATAATTGGTATCGTCAGTAGAGTAGCGATCAGAGCTATAAGCAGACAAATGCTTGACAAACATCACTCAGCAATCTAATTGAAACTAGCAAGGTGATGCGTGCAAATTGCACGACTCTGTTCTTTTTTTTATGCAACTCCTAAAGATTATGAGAATCTGGATTCTATATAGTGATTTAAAAATCTAGATTCTACATAAAAAAAGAAATATCTTTGGATATTTAGATTCTAAACATAGATTATAGATGATTGATGGTGTTCCACACCCGTTATCTCAAAATAGTAGGATGAAGGTGTATACTTGGATTCTCAAAATCTGGTAATTAGATTATTTGAATCTCCCAATATATTCCACCTGTTTGGCTCTCATTGTCATTCTCATAATTTTTAGGAGATCCAATTAGAATCTTAGTTTGCACTCTTCTCGTCCACTCTTTGGTATTATAGATGGCTAGAGGGATGAATAGCCTAAAAAATTTCTTCTATAAAGTCACAAATACTAATGCAAAGTGATTAGTATAATACAAGGACCTAATAGCTTCTACTTTGCTCTAGCTCTAATTCAGCCAATGCAAGCCTCCTACACAAATCTAGTAGCTTGGTTTTCTAGGCTATGTCACATAAGCAAACAAGCTACCAACTAGCAAAACTAGCTACAACTAGCAAGAGCTACCAACAAAAATAACTACAACTAGTTACAACTACCTCTACTACAACACTAGGCTAGTCAAGCAACTATCACACCACAAGAATATGAACGTAATTGCAAGAGTGAGTAGATTGCAAACCAATAGGGGCAAGTGAAGACACAAGATATATCCCCGAGGTTTGGTTGCTTGACGGCAACCTACGTCCTCGTTCTAGCGAGTCCCCAAGTGATGGTTCACCAGCTAACTAGCGTGACAAGCTAGACCCACCAAGGGTGCCGCAAGAACCACTCAAATGGTGCACTCCAACTAGCCACGATTCCACTAGAGTTGATCTTCACGATCTCCCGAGGGGATGAGCATAAGAGCTCCTTACAATCACTTGATCAGAGCCGACAACAATCACTAAAGCAGCTCAACAATCCTCCGCTGCCTCCAAGCCGTCTAGATGACAATAACCACCAAGAGTAACAAAAATCCCATGGCTCAACTCGATCGCTAGTGCCACTAGATGCAAGAACTCAATACAAATGTACTAAAACCACTTCCGATCTCAATTTGGATCAAGCAATAGGTAAAGAGATGAGTGGGAAGTATTTGCTTAGGCTCACAGGTGTTCAACATGTTAGAGTGCTAAGGGAGCTACCCAAGGCTAGCCAATCACTTTTTATAATACCCCTTGAGCAAAGAGCCATTGGACTGCTCACTGCACAAAAGTCGGGGCGTCTGACAAACCGATGCCACGACCAACACCCATGGGTTCGACGTCCTCTAGTAAGCCACGTGTTACTAGTCGTTTGAATAATACAATACTATTGGAATTTTTATTGAATATATTTTTGTCAATATACATATTCTTATAAAAAATTTGATAATTTTTCTATAGTTTTAGTTATTTTTAGATAATTTTATATTAAGAAAATAATTAAAATTGTAAGTTTTTCAGGAACAGCGACTCGATCTGTTGTCACGACGCAGGACTTGTAGTACGCACGCGTGGCCTGTGCGGCGGATTAACGAAGACTTGTACTAGTTTGGACTGTTTGGTTTGTGGCCTATATATGATGAAAACCTAGAGACGTTTGATCCTTCCTACGCGGGTTTTGATCATTCTTACGCGGGTAATTTGTTTGTTTTCTAGTCCCTATGGAGATTCCGTTGAAGACTACTCGGTCGGTCACTAGTCTCTGGTCATCCCTACTTAGCCTGATTTGCTGGAGTGGCGTCTGCATCTTACCTCAGCCTGATTTGATTGATACCGATCATCTCACCCCTAATCAAATGTACGCCACTGTCCGATCAAAAAATAATAACGTAAGGCCCTGTTTAGTTCATCTAAAATACCAACTTTGACACTATGTAAAAAAATCATCAAACAAGTATTAAATGTTGATTGAAATAAAAAAACCCCCTAATAATCAAATGTACGCCACTGTCCGATCAAAAAAAATCTGTCGGTAAACTGCTGTATTTGAAATTAGACGCAACGTAATGCACGCCACTGCCAAATTCAAAATGCTTTGTTTCAGATCCAACCGATGAGAATGAAACTGCCTGCCGTGGTCACTAGCTGCTTGCTGACTTTATCCATGGACTGGTTTCATGTTTCTAATCTAATCATGGCTTGTTATTATTTATTAATTGTATATTGTATCAGGTATCGTCACTAGAGTAGATATGCAGAGCTAATAAGCAGACAAATGATTGACAAACATCGCTCACCAATCCAATTGAAACTAGCAAGGTGATGCGACTATAAACTGGGCCATGAAACCCCAACTGAAACTGACCTAATACACCTTAGAATACCACTGGAATAGGATTAACACAAATGGTCAATCAAGTAGTGCTCTGTCTATAGTCAAACTTGTTAGATTTAGCTAAACTTCTAAAAAAACCAACATCTTTGTCACCAAATTAGTTTTGTTAAACTTACCATGATTACATGGTATGCGTACTTTTATATGGTATATTTCTTTGGTGCTGGAAATGTTGTTACGCCTTTTTCTTATAAATTTGAACAAACATAGGACGAACCATAATTTTGTACAAAGTTAGGACAAACATAAAACACGTCATGGAAAGAGTAGCAGGTTGCATATTCGAACAACTGTACTCTGCTTCAAATTCAAGCCCTTTATTTCTAACTATTGCAACATATGGAACCACGACCAATCGCTTAGGCAAGCAACAAAAAGTGAGTGATGAGCAAACAAAACACTTTTGAGGAATAATAAAGTAGTCCATCATCTTCTCACTCCTCACCTTTTTTTGTTTTTGTTTTGCAGTATATCTCATGCATCATCACATCATTCCCCACAAAGTCAATAATTAATTCTCCTCCGTTTCAAATTATAAGTCGTTTTGACTTTTTTGATACATCCATTTTTATGTATCTAGACATTATTATTTATCTAGATGTATAGTAAAATAGATGTACAAAAAAAATCAAAGCGACTTATAATTTAGAACGGATGGAGTACTAGTTTAAGAAATAAAACAATTCCACCAAATTTGAGAAATTGATTCATGATGCATTAACTTATCCTCAAACCAAACACCCTATAAATTCAAGTAACCATGAGAAAACAGATCTAGAATGGCACGGTTCGATTATGCCGTTCCAAAGGTACATAAGGGTGATTCAGGTAACTGATTACTCTGTGAACATACGCATCAGATGAGCATTGGCATGATACACAAACGATGCACTGGAACTAGAATACCAAAACAAGATGGTAAAATGGCAATAATAACTTTATAATAAGTTCAGCAGCATTCTGTACTATAAGCATTCGGTTGCATTCAAAGTCAAAACACTAGGCAGATGAAGATTTGACAGTGGCAGACTTGATGATGTCCACGAACTCAGGCTATAAAAAAATGAAAAATGGACGTCAGAATGGTGAAGTTTAAATATGAGGCATGATGCCTTCAGTCGACTTAATGAACAAATATTTCACACATTACCAGCTACTCCACAAGAATAGCTCTGCTCATGCATCGTTTTGTTTAAGTTGACAAATTGGATTTCATTGTATAGAGCATCTTTATGGTCCAAAAAACATACTAAGATGTACCAATGATTAGTGATTACAATAGTGGTACCAAATTTTGGCGCCTCTGCTACTATTTTCCAGTATCTAGGTACCAAAATTAAAGTTATAAATGTTGGTACCTCCTGGTAGTTTCTAATGGACCGGAAAAGGGCTCAATTATATATATTTTCATGAGGATGACACAAGGATCATACCTTCAATGAGGCTCCACCAACAAGGAAACCATCAACATCTGGTTGAGCTGCAAGTTCTTTGCAGTTAGCTCCATTTACAGACCCTGGAGAGATAACACAAGAGGTTGTAATACAAAGTGGCAAGCCCTAGTTCAGAGCAATGATAAGCTAATTGTGAACTGTGTATGCAACAATTAGAGACATTCTAAAAAAATAGGCTATGCTTAGTTTCCTGGCTCCACAACCAAGTCGTAAGACGACTTTCAACATATTGTAAAGCAACTGGGATGCAACACAATTAAAAATATTGGCAGTAGTACTACCTCCATAAATTATCCTGGTTGATTCAGCAACTGCTGGGCTAACATTGGAGTAGAGCCACTTTCTCAGACTATCATGAACCTACAATACCATGCACATCTCAAATGTTATACAAAACAGAATTCAGAACATTCATATCAATATGTCAATCAAGAATACTGTGAGACACAAATGGAAGCCACTATATACCGTGTGAAAAAAAAAACCATGCAGTTATTGCTCCTATTTAAGAAGTTATACCTCCTGAGCCTGAGCAGGGGTTGCAACCTTGCCGGTCCCAATAGCCCAAACTGGTTCATATGCCAACACAACATTTGTCCAATCTGATATTTTTTCTGGGAAACAAAAGGAGAGGCAGTAAACAGTGAATTGGAGAAATTCATAAGTCCTTCATTTTTGCACGAAGGCAAAAAATTCAAAGCAGCAGCCAGAATGAACAGATGAAGCTAAAAAGGATTGAAGTGTTAAAAATGTGTGCTTACTTAGGTATAAAAAAACATTGAAATATTTTAATATCTGTGTCGTGTATAACATAGTTCCTTTTTAAAATGACAATAGCTTTCAGATTTATTTCTGTGTCTGATTCACAAAAAAAAAAGACATCAACCCGGCCACCATGATTTTTACTATTTAATGTAAAAAAAAAGAAAGAGCATTTGCATCCTGAAACCTATATGAACAGAAGCAGGAATCAGCCAAAAACATAAAATGATCAGAAAGCAGAGTAGCAAATTGCTGTTCCATATAATCTGCTTAAATAATATTAACAGCAAGTAAAAGTTACCAGCAATAGCCTTTGTTTGTGCAGCAACAACATCCATTGTCGTTCCTGCCTCTCTCTGCTCAAGGGTCTCACCAATGCAAGCAATTACCTTGAGACCTTGGGTGAGTGCATATGCAACTTTATCAGCAACAAACTGTCATGAATTGAAATAAAGAAGTAATTAAGAAATACAGAAGACTTAGCAGCAGCAGGTACAGGTTTAGATGGCTTGACGAAAGAACACAATGAATAATCTATAGCATGAAAACTCGGATACAGTTATATCTGGCAATTGGCATAGTAGATGGTTATCAACCCAGCTAGTATGCTAGTATAGGGACAATCTACATAGGGTTAGTGCAGAATCTGAATATACTCACATGATTTCACGCACTGCACAAATGTGAAAGATCAAAATCTGATCATATGGCCTACTTAGGTCAGTGTAACAAATTCAATCTTAAACCATCTTAGCCTAACAACATTGTGTCACCAAGGAAAGGTTCAAGAGGCCACAAGTTTTTGAACCTAAATGCTGATATGATAGTAAATTGATCTCAACTGTTAAGTAGAGAATCAAATGTGGCATGAAAAGCACAAATCATTTCAAACAATTCCATTAACTTTCATGACAGTTTCTTCCAAGCATCTAGCAGAATAAAGAATAACACATGAATGTACACAAGACAACAGATTCTTCCAAGCATCAAGCAAAATAACACAAGAATGTGAGCTGACAATAGAGAAGATAAATCAGACCAGGTCAGCTAAAATAAATCAACAGCAACTTATAGAGTTTAAAAGGTACTCACATCACTGGATTCACCCAACAGAGCTCTGCGCTCAGAATGCCCCAAAATGACCCAGGGCACCTGCAGGTTCACCAGCATCTCAGCACTGAAACAAGAAAACTGACACATATTAGCCAATTGGAAGAATTACTCCAGTTACTATTCAATTGGTGAGTTGGATCAACGAAATGGATCACTCTGGACATTACAGGATCCAATCCATGACCAAATACAGAGATTCGGTGCAATTACTCGACTCAAATACGAAAGCATTGAAGATCTTGACACTCAAAATCATCCGGACGTTTCATAAAGCATGCCAATCTTGCCCAGTGAACAAATCTAGAACCTTTCTGACATAATCAAGCCACATTTCCATAAACAAAAACCAGAGGAGCCAAATCTGACCAAACGGGCAAGCACTCAATTCTACTGCTTCTATCACAACGCTGAACCATGACAGATCAAACAAAGAGTAGGAGAAGCAACCTGATCTCGCCGGTGAAGGCGCCGCCCTTGCGCACCCAGCAGTTCTGCGCTGCGACGGCAAAGTCCAGTCGCAGCAGCCCCTTGACCTGCTGCAGAAAAACGAACGGCGGGCTCACCACCACCTCTGCGCACCACCCCCCGAGTTCAAACCAACCAGGAGATCAGCACATAGATCGATCCAGTCAAAAACCAAACCACAGCCGAAACGGCCCCGCAATTGCAGACTCACCGACGACGTCCTCAGAGGGCACCTCGGCTTCGTTGAGCACGGTGACGATCTTCTTCACGTCCTCGCCGGTGCCGTTCTGCCCACGGGGGGAGCGGATGGCATCAGAGATCAAACCAAAACTCCGGCGTAACGTCGAATTCAAATCGAGAGAGCGATGGTGCCTGGGCCCTGGGGCCCTGGGGCCTTACGCATTTCCAGTTGCCGCCCACGAAAAACTTCCGCCATTTCCTGCGCGTGCGCGAGCCGCCCACGAAGAACTTCCTGGATGCCATTGGTCCTGCGCGTGCGCGAGAGGCGTGGCAACCGCGATGGAGACACTGGCGTTGGGCTGGTTGCGGAAGACTTGGTGCGTTCGTGCAGTGACGAGGCGGATCGAATCGAGATGGACGGTTATATCGAGGGAGCCGAACAGGTGGCGGCGGCTGGGCTTCTTGCGGCGGAAGAAAAAACTAATGTGGATATGCTTTGATGGCAAGCCTGGATGGCGGGGCGGGCAGGGCGGAGCCAGCCAACAGGTTTGGAGCACACGCCGCCGGGTTTCGGCTCGAACCGCGGGCCCAGTGACCAAGCAGCAGCAGGCAAGCGGCGGCACCTCCGACTCCGAGCCGCGGCCCCAGTGACCAAGCGGCGCCCCCTGTCTTCCCGTTTTTCCTATGAAAATAAACGGATTTTATATAAATAAAATTACTTAAAGATTCATATGAAATTACTATTGTTCCAAAGCAGCTTTTGAATGCAGGATTGGTTTAGCGCATTCCAACAAAATCAGAGAACTATAGCGAACAGTTGCCAGCAGAGAACTAATGGCATGCCTCTTTCAACAATAAAAAGCAACACAGAAGATTCAGCCTACCATGAAACCAAGCCTGTCATAACTAGTTTCTTGACAAACCCTTGCAAGAATTTAGCCCACAAATCAGGCTTTATTGTTACAAAATGAGCAGACCCTTGCTGTTCCGCAACATGTGGGGCACGGAAAAAAAAAAGAAACTGAGAAAACAATTTGACATTCCACTGTGAAGCTCTGATTCAGCTATATATGTTTCTAAAGCTATGTTTTCTTCTTTGTACACAGCTGTGGGCTTCTACAATCTGAACTCCTAGCGGTAAGTTCACAAAATGCAGCAAACAATGTAATCTTCTATCGAATGTGCTTTCAATTTAGACAGTATTTTGTACACCCTGATTACATGAGATGACAGGGTAACTGTTGGCCTGTGCTCCGTACGTCATTTCCATTGCGGGAGGCTCTTATCTCCACTGAAGGTGTTTGATTTGGATTTTGGCTTGAACCGGGACATTTGCATGAGGCTGGTTAGTTCGGAGGGGATTCCATAAGTCCTGTTCGGCTTCGTAAGATTGAGATCAGTCCCTGAAAGGTGAGGAAGAATAAATTATATTATGGAAAAAAAGGTACACATAATCAGAACTAATTGCTCAGTGAGCTTGATTGGGAAACTTAAATTCTCCATGCTGGTACAAAACACATCAAGCCATCTACTGTTCTACACAAATATGCACCTAAAGTGAGGAATGCACAGTTGATGATTTTCAAGATACCATACCTGCACATTATGGAATTAGATTCATTCAAATCATCTGTATGTGCTACGTCCTGTTAGAATTTGCGCCTTGGGAATTATGGCAAGGAGAGTTCATCATCTCAGAACCAGAAGTATCCAGTCCATCTGCTGAAAAATCTAGCTGTTTCTCAACTGATTTGATGGTAACCATTCTTTTTGACCTTTTCTGATAGGGTGGTGAAGAATCAAAGCTCCTTACAGAAGTCAATAACCCATCAACAGAACCCAGCGACAAAAAGGATGCAGCAGTTTTAAACGGCCGTGGAGAAGTAGTGTCCTTCCCATTAGTTCCATTAGGAGTGTAAAAGCTATCATTGCTTACTCCACCCGTCTTCATCTCATTACCTGAAGCAGGTGTTGCTTTATCACGTTTTCTTTTCCTTAGTATTGAAGGAGTACCTGGAAAGCTGTCAGCAGCAATCCTCAAAATTGAATCAACAGTTAGCTGACTTGATACTTTTCCAATCGTTGGAGAGGGAGAAGTATAACCATTGGGTGACATGAAATGTTGTGTTGTTTGATGTGAACCATTACGTTCAGAACGGAGCGGGGTATGGATTGGGGCCACATCTTCCATGTTTGGAATCTGATAACAAAGAGGACCAAGGGTAGAATGCAACTCGTTCTTTGAAGATAATTCTGCACCTCTTTTGGCTGGTGCAGATTCTAATTCAACCCCAACAGGATCAGGTGTTGAGCAAACCTCAACACCCTTCTCATGAACAGAGTCAATTTCTAGGCCCTTGTCACGGACAGAGTCACTTTCCAGACCTTGTACCGCCAAAGTAACAGCAGAACCATCAACTAGTGATGACATTTCATATGAAGTTAGAGGCTGCGTAGTTGGTATAGAAAGAGAAAGGAAACCTGAGGAGTCCAAATTGTATGCCTGTGAAGGTGAGCTCAAAATGGAACGATAAGCTCTTCCAGGGACATCTTTTGAACCAATGCTTGGCATTTGGTTCAGATCAAGATGGCTATCAGTACCCACGGGCTTCATTTTATCCTTGAAATCATCATGAACAAACAGCTTCGGAGCTGAAAGAACACTGCTGTTACTATAAGCCTCTAACTTCTTTCTCAAAGAACTGTTCCAATGATTCTTTATGGAATTATCGGTCCTGGAAACAAAATATATTATGAGCATGGTACCAGAATCCAGAGATGGACTCTAATAAAGTGCAGAGGGAAAAGTGACGATCAGTATAAGTACACCTTCTCCAAAATAGCAATGCAATTTCATACTTACAAGGGACCTTCAGGGAGATTTTTCAGTGTGGTAACCAAAACTACGAAAATTGAACAATGGATATCGCAGTGATGGATTCACAACAAGGAAGCGAAGCCTATATAACTACGAGCGAATATAATGGCATTCACACGACGCGACTCCCTGGAGTATCCTGAGATAGTCTTTGGAGAATTCTATTTGTTATTGAAATCTAGCATCGATGGTATTTATATTATGATGATTTTGTAACTGCATTTCCTTATGATCTGAACAAACAGGGAACTAACATCCAATCCTTGTGAAGCATAACTAGAAAGCATGCCATAGAACATTGGACATAGATAAGAGAGACATCCCTTACAGCATACACAGTGGAACTCCACTAGAATGATCTCGTGGTTTTACAACTTCATACAACTAAAGTACAGTTCATGCTCCGTAATAATGTATCACCATTGTCTTATTTTTGCATTAAAAAACTGATGACTCATGATTATGTTCCCGCATTTTAACGAGTCATCAGATAATCCCAGAAAAAAATCAAGAACGACATCCAAAAGTAATCCACCTTTTTCACGAGGTTTACTGACATAAGTGATTTTGTATAAACTGAACCAATGAAGTAAGCAGTGTATAAGTACCTTCCAGGAAGAGCTTTTGCTATTTCTGCCCATTTATTCCCAAACACTTTATGAGCATTAATAAGTGCCCTTTCCTCCTCAGGAGTCCAAGCATCTTTCCTTATTTTTGGATTCAGATGATTATGCCACCTGCAATTTTTTGAGTTTAGAACGGGGTCCATAGGTACACATTATGTATAGTATCACATCAATCTTAGGTACAATACAATGTATGAAACAGCCAATAAAACTTTTATACAAAGTGGGACCAGAACAGCCTGGCATAAGTTTGTAATCCAAAGATCACAGTTAAAGGGAGGATGCTGACATCAAGCCATTCCAGAGAGCTAAAAGAGAAAGGGAGAGCAGTTTTAACAGAAAGAAAGGAAGACCACAAAAACCATTGCTAAAGGGAGAGCAGTTTTCACACAGGAGCACAAGCTTCAACCATCATAAATATATGAAATATCAATTGCGCACATGTTTTGATAAGTATGATACACACAACTTCGCAAGATATTCACCTCTCTCGGCATTGCTTGCCTATGCGGCCAGGCAATGATTTTGCGATGATAGACCATTTTGTTGGTCCATACTTGCCCACAAGGTCAATGATTTTTTCATCTTCCTGTAGAAAATAATGTAGATATAACATCTTCCTCCAAAAAGTTTATATAGATGCAACATGCACAAGTAATTTTCAGCGGAAGTGAAGTAAACAAGTCGCAAACCTCTTGAGTCCAAGGGCCTTTGATAAGCTCCGGATTAAGAACCTTCTGCCAACGATGCAAACATTGAACCTCAGTCCTGTCCTGAAAGAATTCAGCTGCATGAATAGATACAGATCCATTTGTTAGTTCACCATGCACCTAAAATTGAAGGAAAAACTTCTCAAAATAATTTGAAAATTCTCTATATATAGGAAAATAAGAATTCCGCATACCCCTACTGCAGCTACCACACATGCAAAATAGAGCTAATTGACATAGTTCAATATTAAACAGCTAGATCTACTATCAGAGCGCCAATAACTAACTGCTCTTAAATTTCACTACCCCTTTTTTTCTCAGTTCGACCTTAAAGAAACACAGAAAGCAGGCAACTAGGCCCATGTTAACAGAACCAACAATGCTAAATACAGCTCCTTAGTGCAGTAACTGTGGAGCGTCGACAGTGACAGGAGAGAAGTTTTTGTAGTATATAACTATATATACAGGACCATATTCATGTCACAAATTCTCAGGCCTTGTGGTAACTGTACACATTCAAAGTTAATTTCATGTAAACTTACCGAATGCTAGCATTTCCTGATTCATGTTCATTTCTAGATTCTAGGTTTACAATATAAATACATGTAAACAGCTGACGAGTAGAAAGATGCAATAGCATATCCTGCAGTGTTCAATGCAACACTTTGTTAATAAAAAAAATAGACAGTCAAGTAGAGAAAACAAGGGGAAACCATGCTTGACTTCAAATGATACAGTGATACACAGTAACACCCCCCAGTGAAAATAATAATAATAATGCCATATCAGACAGATAGTTGGCTCTCTATTTAATGCAATGCAAAAGACAAGTAAAAAGGAAACCTTATTTCTACAAGGGCAACTGAGTACATAAATTATACAATGGAAAGAGGAGGCAACCTATTTTTTTCCAATTTCTACCCTTGAAAGCTTCAACTGCCTTCCGCAGTGTTTCATCCTGTTGGCATATTTTGAAGCCAATTAGTAACATTTCATAGATATGCTAAAAGAGGAAAAACACACACTTCTAGCACATGTGCATATCATCAACTCTTGGTCTTTATAACAGAGAATGTGAGATACTGACCT